CGCAGCTGTTCTTTCCTTGAAACCTTGCTTGGCAAAAGAAAACTAGGGAGCATTCTGGGGTCTCTTTTACAAAGACATTAATCCCAGTCAAGAGCACTCTGTCTTCATGACCTAAACTGTCTACCAAATGTAGGATTTCAACATATGAATTTTGAAGGAGACAAACATTTGATCCACAATAGTCATGGTATATAATTCTTTTTATACCTCATTGAATTTGATTTGCCACTTTTTTGAGGACTTTTGTGTCTATGTTTGTGGGAGACACTTGTCTGTAGTTTTCCTTTCTCATAATGGCTTTGTCTGGTTTTGGTACTAGGGCAAGGATGGCCTCATTGGATTAGTTAGGAATTTCCTCTGCTTCCATTCTCTGAAAGAGAGTGCAGGAAATAAGTATAATTTCTCCCTTAGATGTTTGGTAGCATTCACCAGCTAACCCATCTGGGCTTAGTGTTTTCTGTGGAAAGTCATTAATTATTGATTCAATTTCTTCAGTATGTATTAGGCCCCACTTTCTTTTCTCTCAGTGCTAGGGATGGAGCCAGGGCCTCACACATACTAGGCAAGAGTTCTACCACTGGGCCCCACACCCCTAGCCCAATATAAACCTTTTTGGTTCGTTTATTTCTTCTTTTGAGTTTTGGTACGTTCTTTCTTTTTAGGAATTGGCCCATTTCATCAGGTTATGAACTCTGTAGACACAGAGTTGCTCGTAACACTCTGTCACTGTCCTTTTACTGTCCTGGGGCTCTGAGCTCACATGCCTTCTTTAATTTCTGGTATCAATAATTTGTGCCTTCTTTCTTTTTTTCTTAGTTAGCCTGGCTTACTGGTTTTATTTGTTTTTTATGGAACTAGTTTTTGGTTTTGTTGATTTTCCCTATTTATTTCATGCTTTCAGTTCCACTGATTTCTGCTCTGTTTTTATTATTCCTATTTCGCTACTTAACTTTGGATTTTATTTGCTTTTCTCTTCCATTTTCCTAAGGTGAAAGCTTAGGTGACTGATTTCATATCTTTTTGTCTTTTCTAACATAAGCGCTCAACACTAAATTTTCCTCTAAGCACCGATTTCTCAATATTGTGTGAATTTTGACAAGTTGCATTTTCACTTTCAATTAGTTCTAAACATGTTTGAATTTCTCTTGAGATTTCTTCTTGGACTCTTGTGTTATCTGGAAGTGCGTTGTTTGACCTTCACGTATTTGGGATTTTCCAGTTACCTTTCTGTTAATGATTTTAGCTTAATTCCATATAATCTAAAAGCAAACAGTGTTTCTGTTCTTTTCAGTTTGTTCAAGTATGGCCCAAAATGTGGTCTGTTTGGATAAGTATTCCATTTGAGCACAAGAGGGTGCATTCTGCTGTCACTGGATGAGATAGTCTGTAGACAGCCATTATATTCAGTTGATTAATGGTATTGTTGAGCTGAATTTTGTCCTTAATGATTTTCTGCCTGCTGGATCTGTCCCTTTCTAATAAAGGAGTGTTGAAATAGATTCGTCTATTTCTCCTTGCAGTTCTATCAAGTCTTTTTCTCCTGGAGTTTGATACAGTGTTGTTAGGGGCATCCACATTAAGGATTGCTATGTCTTTGTAGATAATTGACCCACTTACTTGTTAAGTAATACACTTCCTTGTCCTTAATAATTTTCCTTATTCTGAATTTGCTAGCTTAATATAGCTATTCCCATTTTCTTTTGATTATTGTCAGCATGGTATTTTTCACATTTTCTATCATTTTTCTTTTAATCTACATATGGTTTATAGTTAAAGAGTGCTTCTTATAGAGAATATATAATTGAGTCTTATTTTTTTTATCACAATCTCTGTCTCCTAATTGGTATGTTTAGACTATTGACATTTAAAGTGGTTATTGATATAATTGGATTAATATCTACTATATCTATTACAGTTTTTTATTCATTGCTCTTATTCTTTGTTCTATTTTTGTCTTCTTCTGCTCTTCTTCTGTCTCCTATGGTTTTAATTGAGCATTTTATATGATTGTATTTCCTCTGCTCTCTTTGGATATTTCTTCCTCTTCCTTCTTCTTTTCCTCTTTCTCTTCCTCCTTCTTCAAGAAGTTGCCCCATAGCTTATAATATACATTTGCAACTATTCTGAATCCAGTAACCCTATACAAATTCATGAGTAATCTAAGTACTTTCTAATCACAAAACAATACTACTCCTTCCTTCCTGTCCCTCTCTTATTGTTCCATTACTATTTTACTTGTGCATACATGCATACATGATCAGAGAATCGTTAATTATTTAGAACGGATGCTTATCTGTTAGATTAAGAAAAATAAAAGGTATTTGTTTTCTTGGACGTTCTTTCTCTTTAATGTAGATACAAATTTCTTACTTCTGTAATGTTCCTTCTCTTTGAAGAACTTCTCTTAATATTTCTTGTAAGGTGGGTCTTCTGAAAGAAAACTGCTTCAATTTTGCTTGTCTGAGGTATTATTTCTTCTTTATTTTTAATTTAATTTACTATTTTTTTGAGGCAGAGTGTCACTATGTAGCCCAAGCTAGACTCCTTGTAATCTTCCTGACTCTGCCTCCCAAGTGCTGGTGTGCACAACCATGCTTTCTACTTTAGTTCCGAAAAGCAATTTTTCAAGATACAAAATTCTAGGCTGCTTGGTTTTGAGATATTTTTTCCTCAACACTAAACATGTCATGCTATTCTTACTTGCAGAGATTTCAAGTTTCTGAAAAATCAGGTGTAAATCTTTTCTATAAAGTATTTTCTTTTAAGATATTTTCATTATCTTTGATTTTCTGTATTTTGAATATGATTTACCTAGATACAGTTTGATTTTTCTTTGTTTGGTATCTGCTCTTCTTAATGTTCTGAGAATTCTTGAATTTATGTGTGGTTTTAATTTCAGAAAATTCTTAGTCATTGTTGCTTTAAATATCTCTTCTTTTCTCTCTTTTTCTGCTATTCCCATTACACATGTTTATATTTGTCCCACAGTTCTTTGACATTTTCTCTCTTTCCCTCTCCCTCTGCCCTGCCCCTCATCTCTATCTCTCTTTGAAGCATCGGGGTTTGAACTCAGGGCCTCATGCTTGCTAGAGAGGCACTCTACCACTTGAGCAATTCCTCTAGCCTTTTTTTTTTCTCTGTATCTTCCTGTTTTGGAATTTTCTCAAGTTCTTAGCTTCTTTCCTCAACTGTGTCCAATCTACTAATGAACTCAAAGGACTTCTTCACTTTTGTTAGGGTTTTTGATCTCCAGTGGTCTTTGTGATTCTTTCATAGAATTTCCATCTCTCTGTCTACAAGACACACCTGTCTTGCATATTATCTACTGTATCCATCACTACTTAATTGTTTTAAACTTCTTGTCTGATCATCCCAACATCTTTACCGTTTCTGAGACTCGTCCTAATGTTTGTTCTGTCTCCTACGACATTTTTTTTGATAGTCAGACACAATGTACTGAGTAAAAGGAACTGCTGAAAATAGGCTTTAATTATGGAGTAGTGAGTTTAGGGGGAGGTGCCCAGTGGTTACTAGTCCCACAATTAGGTTCCAGTCTCTTAGAGGCCTGTGCTTGTGAACTATGAACTTCACACGTGCTACTCAGGTTTGCCCTTAGCTGGGACTGGACAGCTAGCATAGGTTGGAGTTGAATATTTCCTTTCTCTCAGATTGGGCTGTCTCTGATAAAACCCCAATAGTTTAGGCCCTGCTCACATAGTTTCTCTGGAGGGCAGGCCTTGTTAAGAACAGAATGCCTGGTATATTTTGAAATTGTTCCTTTTCTTCTTTGCCAGAAACATGAAGGGTTTTACTCCAATGTTACCTATGAGAACCTAGGTTGAGCTCCTAGAGGTAGAACCCACAAAACATGGGAGTACCCTATGACTGGGCGCTCCTCAAGTTTTTAGCTCTCAGAGTTGTCCATGGTGAGCCCCTAGGAATTTGTCTGTGACAGCTTGTCTTTCTACCCTGGCACTGGTTATCCCAAAGGTTTGTTTCTACTCTTGTATTTCTGCTTTTCTCAATATCTGCCACTCCCTGACCCCAATTTGAGAGAGCAAACTTGCCCCATGAACTTTTTTCTCTGACAGAGCTAAGATTTTGGTTTCTTTGGTTTTTTACATGTTGTTGAAATGAAATGACAACTTCCAAGCTCCGTACAGGCCAGACTGGAAACCAGAAGTCTCTGTGCATTTTCTAAGGCATCTTCATTGGTGTATAATTTATTCTTCATTTGAGTAAATAATTTAGCCATACACTAAAATTCTTCAGTTTTAGAGCAGTAAGTTTCATTACCCATGCCCATTTGAGATTTCTGATCCTACTGCTAGCCCTGGGCAACCACTAGTCTACTTCCTGTGTCTATAAACTTTCCCTTTGGGACATTTCACATTAATGAACTCATATAGTAGGCAAACTTCTTATCCAGCATCTCTAGCTTAACATAATATTTTCCAGGCTTATCTGCTATAACATATACTGTAAGGAATTTTAAAACAAATTGAAATGCAATGTCTGTTTTCTAGTTATTATTAAATATTTAAATGGACTGCAAATGAGTCAGCACAGTGTTGAAACTAACCTTTCTATAGACCATCTGGTATTCACACAGAAAGCATGATGACTGTGCTACACACACGTCACAATCACAGAATCGATTAGCCAACCAATCATTTTTAAAGTACAAAATCTGACCAACAAAACAGTATTTGTAAAATACAGTTATTGGTACAGCTGTATTGATTTATTCCAGTAGATTACAGTAATAAACAATGAATAGGCAAAATTGCTGGGAGGAGGAAATACCAGATTCAGATTTGCATGAATGACTTCCATTTCCTTCAGAAAATCTAATTAAACTTGTCAAGCAAAGGGAGTAGCTAATATCTGATTTTTTTTTTCTGAAAACCAGTTTGAAACTTCCAGGAATATAATAGGCTTATCAGTGTGAAAGTTCTGAAAGCCATAGAACATTCCCACATTGAAACTGCTGTACTTACAAATTGTCCTCAAGTCTCTTCATAGATTCCAAAACCAGTGAGTGAACACTGTCTAAGGAGCAGGACCCAAAGCAATTTAGGGCTTGAATGAATCTGATCTTCATCACCCAGTCATTATGTAGCTTCCTTTTAACACTGGGAGTGGAAAAAACAGGGAGGATGTTATGTTAGACATGCAAAGACAAGATGTTGAGGTTTTTCTATTCAGCATTTCATTTGATTTTAACTGAATCACAACCCTGAGTCTGTGTTACAATAAATCCCATGCATTATTCCATTTTTAGCTATTTAAAATTTCCTAATCTAACAAAATTAAAAAGGAAACATAATTTTAAAGACTCTCATCGAATTTTGAGCTATAAATTCAGCAGTATAGGAATAATCTAGAAGAATCTCAACCTAGCATTGGTTATGTTACCCTTGCTCTACTGAAAAAGTTCTGATGAAAGGAATGGATCACTGTTTCATGTGTCTGATATCTTATGAGTTAACTCACTTGAAAAACATGTCTCTGTTTTCCACTCATACTTTCAACACTGAAGAACTGGGAAATCCAGATCTAAGCGCCCTCTGCCAGAGGTTTGCTCATCACAGGACATTTCAGGGAGAGTCCCCAGGTTGGAGGCCGAAATCTCTACGTCAAAATTCTTGCTCTAATTAGGAACAAACCATCCCGACGGTGCTACATTTACTGATATTTGATGGAGTGTTGATTTCCTCACTCACACTTATTGTTCACTTACTGTACCCCAGGTACTCGGGTAAAATTCCTGCCATCCATCTCATATTCTACTTGGGAAATAGATATGTTTATGACTTAAGCATGACAGTTGTACAATAAGGAATTAAAGTCGAGAAGGAGGTTTCTTTTTCCATGATACAGTTTGTTTAATTTCAAACTCTGGGTGCTGGCTCATTCTTTAATTTGTAGAATGTTCTGTGCACCCGTGTTTGCTACCCTGGCCCCCACCTAGTCAATATGAATGAATTCCATGAATGTCAACTTCAAGAAACTTTTCTCATGGCTCTAGAATTTAACCACCCTCTGCTTTTGTCAGGTTCTGGGATCTCTATTATTATTTTTTAATGTTGTATTTTTATTCCCAATAACACAGCTCCTTTTTTTGGCAGTACTGGGCTTTAAACTCAGGGACTCATGCTTGCTAGGCAGGCGCTTTACCACTTGAGCCACTCCGCCAGCCCTACTTTTATTTTTTGAGATCATATCTCACTATTTCCCTGAAGCTGGTCTGGAACTTCAATACTCCTGCACTTGCCTCCTGAGGCCTGGGCTGCCAGGCGGGTGCCATGCCCAGCTGAGGCTCTCTTGTGTAAGAAAATGTCTCAATGCTCAGCCTATATAGGCTTGAAGTCTTGAAGGATTTAATCTGCATGGTGGTCATCTACATGCAGATAATCACATTCAAGAACCAGTGTGAATCAGCATTCATTTAACTATATCCAGATCCTCAAATGCCTCAGGTTCCCGAACCTCATTTCAGACATCTAGGTGATGGAAATAGAAATCGGAGAATGGGTCTTGGAATTTTTTGATGAGTGGCTCACATGTTTGTAGAGAGAAGGTTCATGTCTGGGCCTCTGTTCTAACAGCCAGCACTGCTGAAATGAGAGGCCCAATGGTACACAGGACAAATTAGAAAAGTCCCCCCATGAGTCTCTTCCTTGGTGGGACTAAGTAACACAGCCCCTACATGAAGCGTGGAAATTGGAGCCAGTTTCTTAATGGCTGTATCATCACTGTTCCAGCAATGGGGCTACTCTTAATTCTATGTTGTAATCTGTTCTGAGCTCTTAGTAGTACAGGCTAATTCAGGAATAATATGTGCTAAATGAATAATAAGGTACAATTATGTGTTTTTAACATTTTTCATTATAAAAGGGAGATCTTCATTGTAAAAAAATTTGAGAAAGTAAAAAATCATGAGGACACATGTTAGAGAGGATGTGGGGAAAAGGAACCCTCACACACTGCTGGAAGGATGTAAATTTATACAACCACTATGGAAGGCAGTATGGAGGCTCCTCAAAAACTAAAAATAGATCTGCCGTATGATCCAGCAACACCACTCCTAGGCATACATGTCTGAAGGAATGTAAATCATGGAATAATGGGGACACTTGCACACCCATGCAGCACTATTCATAATAGGTATTACATATACATATGCAGTAGAATATTACTCAGCCATAAAGAAGAATGAAATTTTGTCATTCACAGGTAAATGGATGGAACTGGAGAATGTCACGTCAAGTGAAATAAGCCAAGTTTAGAAAGACAAAGGCCGCATGTTTTCTCTTACATGTGGAAGATAGATCCAATTACAAATACAAGCATTATCATATATATGAAGCATGTTTCCAAAAGTGAAACAATTAAAAGAGCTAAGGGAGGAGGAAACAAAGAAAAAATAGCAGTGAATAAAATTGAAATACATCACATCTGTGTAGGGACAAGAAACATCAAAATGCAAGTGCAAAGTATGGAACAATACAGGGTAGAAAGAAAAGGGTAAGGAAGATCAATAGAGGAGGTTAGACTGATGAAAGTGCAATTTATTTCCAGGTAAAGTACCGAGGTAACCTCCCACTGAACAATGAGCATAAACATAAGCAATGAAGGTCAGAAATGTAAAACAGGCCATGATGAGAGGGTAATAGCAGGAGAGGGAGAGCAAGTGAAAAGGGTAAAGGAGGGTGGATATGGTTGATGTACTTTCTATACACGTATGAATAGGAGACATTGAAACCTGTCAAAGTCATTTTAAGAAGGGCGGGAGGGAGAATAATGGAGGGGATGAACCAAACTGGAATACAATATATGTTTATATGGAAATGACACAATGAAACTCCCTGTATAACATTATATACTAATAGAAAGATTTTTAAAAATATGAGGAAGGAAAGGAAAATGACTTTTCTGAAGTCTGAGAATCACTGATAATATTTTAGCTATTTACACTCAGTATTCTTCCAGTAGAAATACAAACACATGTGTGTGTTATATACAAAACTGGATGCATGTGTGCACACAAAAATAATGTTTTGGAGTGCCAAGGATTTCACCCAGGGACTAGGCGAGTGCTGTGCTGGCACCATACCCTGAACCCCAGGGAAATTTTTCCTTTACCACTATATCAACAAATATTTCCATTCAATATACACAAAATGCATAAATGTTCATTCATGGAATTTAGGTAACGTGTTATGTTTATCTTATGTATCTGACTCATTTGTGTAAATGTGAATCATTTAATCATCCCCCAGTGTTGTACACTGGACACCGCCATTAGCAACAATGCTGGGATGTTGGAACACCCAGGAGACCGGGTCCCAGTGTATAAATGCTATGAGACACTGGATGAATCTCAACCGCTGTCGAGGTAGATCCAGTTCACACCCCACCACAACGGTGTGTGAGAACACTCATCTCATAGCACTTTCCCACGTAAGCTTCTCCAATTCTGCAAGTGAAAAAGTGTGTCTGATTTTAAGTTGTACTCCCTCGATTAATAAGGAAACATATCTAATACCAAATTTATGTTTTTCTCCTAATGTACCTTACTCTAAAAACTTTAAAGACTTTGAAGTTGTAAGGAACATAATTGTGTATCTCATCGGTTGGTGATAACTATTGACATTTTTGTCTGATGATGATTTGAAATGTTTATTGACCATTTATTTGCACTATGTGTGTGGGTGTGGGTGTTATCTGCTTATGACTTTTGTTCATTTTTCCCTTGAGGAATTATTAGTTTTAACCGAATTCTAAGACCTATTAAGGAATATCAACTTATCATTTGTCATACTTGAGTCAAATATTTATTTGTTATTTACTTTTTAAATAGATATTTTGATATCAAGAGGTTTTATTTGGCATATGGTCAAATTTATCAAACTTTCTCTTTGCAGTACTAGGACTTGAATTCAGGGCCTACACCTTGAGCCCCTCCACCAGTCTTTTTTTCATGAAGGGTTTTTCAAGATAGGGTCTTGCAAACTATTTGCCTGGGCTGGCTTCAAACTGCAACCCTCCTGATCTCTGCCTCCTGAGTAGCTAGGATTACAAGCATGAGCCACTGGTGCCTAGTTTCAAACTTTTTCTATATCCATTGCTTTTGTGTTTAGAATCTTCCACATTCAACTAATAATAATTATGTGTGTGTGTGTGTGTGTGTGTGTGTGTATGTGTTTTTACAGTTTTTTCCATGATTTTGGCTTTTTAATACCTGTAGGTTTTGTTTTATAATAACATTTTTAAAAATCTCAGTTGCTTTATCTGTGTTTCCTATTATCCTGGAAGCTCCTTGAGACAGAAGGCATTTCTTTTTTGTTATTTGTTTGTTTGTTTCTTTGAGACAGGGCTTCCCTATGTAGCCTCGGCTAGCCTCAAACTTGTGATCCTCCTGCTTAAACTGGGATTTCTTCTTTTTGTGTGTTTTTTTCATTTTTTTAGCATAAGTTCATTGTACAAGGGGGATTCATCGTGCCAATTCTGAATAGCCTTACATTGTACATTGGTTAGATCACCCTGAAACCATCTCTCTGCCACACCCTCTCCAGGCCCTGAGCTGGGATTTCAATGTGTGCCACCATGCCCAGCTTAGGAAGCATTTCTTGTTCAACTTTGACTCTCAAATGACTACTCTGAGGTCTGGCATCTTGTTTTACAGATAGATAGATAGAGTTAAATAGATATAGATATATAAATGAGCAATGCCTACAATTACTAAAACAAATGGACAACTCAAATAATCACTTACCTTTTAAAGTTCTTTGAGTCTAAGACCTGACTTTGTAATTTCTTTTTGCTTTTCGCCTGCTTTAGTCCAAAGTCATCACTATTTACTGTGAATCTGGTCACAAAGCCACCATCATCCCCCAGGAGGATGTCATCTTTGCAGAGCTGGTCAAACAGAGGCACAACACACACACACAGGAGGCAGTGATCCATGGGCTTTATGACGTAATACTGCTCCTACAAGCAGAAGAGTGCTTTTAAGGCTTGTTACGCTGCTCTAATTAGAGGATTCATGGGGCTTGGGTGTAGCTCAGGAGTAGAGCATGTGCTTAGCGTGCATGAGGCCCTGGGTTCCATCCCCAACATGGGGGAAGGCCCCTATTTTTTTATTAAAGTTTTATTCTCTGATGTTTTTCATTTTGGATAGTGCCACAGTGATAAAAGAACTTGAAAAAATATCCAAGTTGATGAAATAAAGTTAATGAACCTCACTGTGAGCCCAACATTACGTTTTTTAGGTATTTTGGAGGGTAAGGGGTACAATACCTACCTGTAGCTCGGTAAGTGATGAGGTTTGGTGATGTGTGACTGTGAATAGCCTTCTCTTGGATTTGTGAGAAAATATTTACAAGAAGTCTAGAAAAGTTTAGGTGTTACCAGGCCACTGTCATAAATTGAGAGAGAGAGAGAGACAGGGAGGGAGATAGAGGAAGGGAGGGAAGGAGGAGAATGAAAGAAGGGAGGGAGGAAGGGAAGAAAATGAAGAAAGTCAAGTCCCACATATTTTATAAAGAATCATCAGGAGTAAAATAGGATCCTAACACCCATGTTTATACAAAACTAGTCCACAAGCCTTTGTCAGGCTGGCTCTGTATTACTGAATGGATTAACTGTGCTATGCTGTTCCGGAACTCAGTCTCTACCTAACATAGAAAAAACCACTTTGCTTTCATTTTTTTGTTATTTGTTATATTTCCTTTAGAATGAGTAAGAGCCTGATATATTTAGAGGTTTGTTCAGTCATTCAACAATAATTACTGAGCACCTGCCATGGGCCAAGAATTGTTCCTGGCATAACTGTACAGTGATTCTGACTTTGCGGAGCTGTGCTGCTAGTGGGGAAGACAGCAGAGCGAGACAGATCATATAATAGGATCTGCACTCAAGGAAATGAATTCGAGTGTTGCGTGCAGTTGAAAGGCTATTTTAGTTCCCAGAGTCAGAAACAGTGATCTTTGACCTGAGACCTGAATTAATGGAGAGAAAGATAAAGAAGCAGAGAGGAAGGAACCATTTAGAACATTAAAATGTAGAAGGAAGAGAATATGGAGCCTTGTCCTGGGCAAGGCAGGAGGAGAGGGGGGTGTGGATGCAAGGATATTTTGTCTTCAGAGAGAGGAAAGAAAGAAGCAAGTTGGGGTGGATTTCCAGTGACAGCTGTAGGTGGGAGGGCTGGAACTGGAAAGAAGGCAAGTTGGTTTTCTCAGGAAAATAGGGGCAGATGTGTCTCCTGAAAGGGAAGAGCTGAGGAGAGGAATGAAATGCTCAAATGGCTGTGAAGAATGGGAGGGTGAGTTGGCCAGGGCAAGGAGGATGCTGGCAGGAGCCCCTGTGGCTCAACTAGGCTGCAGACCCTGGGTCTGACAAGGCCAAGCTGGGTGACTTGAGTCTTTCTCCAGCAGCACTTAGTCACATGGAAGAGCAGGTGGGCCTACAGAACCTATCTAGGTTAAAAGGCACAGATTAAAGGAGGCAGAGGGCAAGGATGGCCAGCCTTGATGGTCTACCTGGGGTTCAGGCAGAGAGGGGCTGAAGCCTGGAGAAGACACTTTCAAGGGATTGGAGGCATGTGTGGAACTGAAAAGCAAGCGTGACAGCAGCATTGCTGGAGGGAGAAGAGAGTACAGTCAAAGTCACCCAGGGTTCAGAAGTTAATGAAGCCTGGTCTGCACCCCAATAAGGCAGTAGCACAAAGCATACGAAAGCATGCTAAGCAACAAACTACTTTCCTTCAAATCAGTTCAGCATCTGTAGTTGGTTATGACATCGTTTACAAATTGCACAAGAAGTTTAATTTCTCACCCTGGTTAGGAATTATTTTTTAGTCCTCCAGGCATGGAAAGGATGCTGCATTAGATTTGTTGATAGAATTAGACTTTTTTTTATAATTTTCTTACCTAATGAAGATAGACTGGAGAGAAAGACTTTGAACTTGGTAACATAAGCATAACCAGAAAGATAGACAATGCTTAGATTCAGAGAAAGATATAAAAGAAAACAGGAGCCAAGCATGGTGGCATATACCTGTAGTTCCAGCTACTCTGGAGGTGGAGGTGGGAACATCACTTGTGCCCATAGGTTCAAAATAAAAAAAAAAAAAAAAGAATGACCCTCTCCTCAAAATCAAAAACTCCTAAATAAAATGTACATTACAGGGAAAGTACATTCCCTTTTGCTTTGTTTTTGAAAAGGGCCTTGCTTTGTAGACCAGGCTGACCTGGAACTCTCCATCCTCTTGCCTAAACCTTCTGAGTGCTGGGATTACAGCACTCTGGGCCACCACGTCTAGCTCTACAACATTTCCTTTTAATCACAGAATATTTATAATGAATTTAATCTAAAAGTTTAGTTAAATCTTCTCATTTTATAGATGAGGCAATTGACATGCACTGTGGAAAGCGGTCCACTCATATCTCAAAAAGACAATCTCATTTCTTTTGATTATTTCTTTTGGTCCAGTACCTGGCTGGTCCCTTGAGCTTTATAATCCCAGACAATAATGGTCCTTTCTGTAGTGGCGACAATTCGTTTCAGCTGAGCGAGGTAATCGCATCCTGTAATCCATGAGTTATCCTGAGAGAAAATGACAGAACTGGGGGTTATAATGTATCTCCTTCCGTAATGTGGCGTTGTGTACCCCAGAGTAGGCGTAGGAAGTGCTCCCACTTCCCCCTTTCTCTGCACCACCAGCTAGTGTGAGAGCCACTTCCTAAAGTAGAAGTGCACAGCGGCTGGGAAGCGCCAGGGTTTCCACTGCTCAATTTTGTGAGACCACTTCTTTACATGGGCCCAGGGCACCAGTTAAGCAAGTTCTCTGGTTCTGCCGCACAGGGCACCAGTTAAGCAAGTTCTCTGGCTCTGCCGCATGCTAAAACTTTTGTCTAGAAAAGACCTTAGTGATCATCTGGTCCATAATAAGCTGAGTTTGGTGTCTTGCCCAAAGTCACCAGGCTGGCATAGCTGGAACCTATAATAACCACACTGCTGAGCAGAAACAAGAGCTTCCACTCCGGAGTGTCCAGAGCACAGAGAATGCGCTGCGTGTTTCTGGAGTGCCCTCACGTCTTCTGGAAAGTGTTCGAAATGCAGTGTAAGCAATGGAACCTCAGTTTAAAAAGGATCCGGCTCCTTGCCGGGCCTCTCATTCTGTGGTTCTGGGAACTCATTCGGTGGGTACAAGTCCAGTGTTTCCCCGTCTCTCATAAATCCAGGGGTTCCAAAAGCAAGTCCTGCAGACTTCCATCTGCCACAGGTTTCTGTTCAGATTAGCCATATGGAATAAACTAATTCCAACCTTGCACTAGAATTTTTATGGTGTTTTCAAGTTTCAAATAAAATTGTTTCCTTATTTCCTTGTTGTTCTCATAATCTGAATTGTGTCCATTTCTTGCACCGCCTAATAGTAGGTACTCAGAAAAACTTAGGAGAAGCTCTTAAATTAAATTTTTAAGAAGTAACCAGTTTTCAAGCAGGTATTTTAAACTCCAGGAAGCAAGGCCTGGGTGATCTTAGTGTTGGGCCAAGTCAATAAGCATAAGTTTACATGTATGAAACACCTTTTCTTCAGAGTCCATTCAGGTGCTCCAAGGAGACTGATTAACTGTGCAGAAACCATCATCACAACTGTAACTATGACGTCATTAGCAATCTTTTCTATGTACTTACTGTAATACTGGTGCTGGTCAGAACTCTCATCTGTGAATAAAAGGGAGAATGATAAAACCTAGTTGGCACTAAAATTAAAGATGGGAGTATTGCTGTACACATCACACTGTCTGCTTGGCCTAATCTCACGTGTTTCCTCCCTTGTTCTCCTCCCCCTGAAACATCTTGCCATGGAATATTGCACAGAGTCTGCATTGAGCAAGGCTTATCTCCACAGCTTGTGCATAACTCTGGTGATTGAGCACATAATAGTCTTGCACATTATTATTTTATCCCTTCAGTATTCATACTACCTCACACTTTTAGTTATTTAGGGTAACATCAGTTCCAAAACTTGGAAATGCAAATCAATGCTAGCTACAATGACAAGAGTAGTTCAAAGAATGCTAAATAGATGAACATAGAACCATGTTAAAAAAAAAAAAAGCATTGCTTCATGTGTAAAGTCTCCCTCTGTTGAAAGAGCTATTGAAATGCTGTTTTATCCGGGGAAACTTTTCTTGGGTGACTGGTATGCCCTGGGCGCTATGGTAGCTGAGAGTCACAGATGTGACCCATGTAGGGAGCTGGTAGGTTTAAGCAGCTCTCCCACCCTGGAAGCATAATTGCTCCTAAGATGAAAGCAAGTAGCTAAAGTATCTCAATGCCCCAATTTCTTTTGCATGCTCACATCTTGGGAGATGTCTAGGAAATGATTATGCAAAACAGAAAAAGTAGATCAAAGAGAGTGTGGAATCTGTTTATCATGGCCACCCACAGACAGTCTTTCATCTGAAGAGCCAGAAGGCTCTCCAACCAGGAACTTACTTCTAGATGAGGAAAAGATGATGCTGTCAGGAAACTCATGAACAAAGCAGAACACCTATGATTTCCTCTTTTACTTCCCTGTGTCCATCTTTGGTGGAAGTCACCTGCTTAACGTTCTCTTACCTTCTTCATGTTTTCACAATTCTTATGGATGTATTTTGGATTTTTTAAAATCTAGCAATTTTGCAGGAATTTTTATTAATGACATTTGCAGCCTATATCACCAAGAAAATCCTTACCTATCTTACTTCATACACAGTCAAAGTTATGGATTAACCTATTAGAAGATATTTGGAGTTATTAATGGCTTCCTTTTTAACACATTTTCCCTGTAATCTACACCTCCAAATTACTTTCCTCCCAATGCCTTATTTGTAAGGCATGTAACACTCAAAACATTATTTATCCTTGGCATCTCCAGTCTGAACATAATTTTTATTGGTTGTAAGCTTTCCAATTACCTGGCTGTTAAAAACTGTTATTAATCCTTTCTGAGATGCTGTTATTATCAAATCCAACTGAGGGATCTTGACGATGCACTTAATCACGTCCCGTCTTCTACTACCTGTCAATAGCACGATATTCCTTTCAATTTCCAGGGGCAAAGATCCTAAAACCCATTGTTATGCTGGAGAGAGAGACAGAGAGAGACAAAGAAGAAGGAAGGAAGGAAGGAAGGAAGGAAGGAAGGAAGGAAAACAACTGACATTTTGCTAGAAAGCACTAACTTACTTAAAACTAAGAATAAAACCATAAAAATCAGCATCTGTTATTTTTTAATTACCCTTAGAGATACAAGCTGAACAACAGAGCTTTCCAGCTAAATGTGGAAGACGAATGGATACTCTCCCATACCATTAATATGTGCACATTTCACAGAGAATGCATTTTCTGAGCATCTTTTGGAATCATTTCTAATTTGAGGGTTTTCACACCTGTTAGGAATCATCACCATCAAGCTTTTCACAGAATAAGAACTTAATATAATCTCAGACTTTCCCATAGAAAACAACGAAACTACTTCAATATTTAAAGTTTTCCTTGAATTTTGTGCATTTAGGGGGAAAAAAAAAACACTAGACACTTTGATGTTTCTCTGCCCATGTTCTGAGTGATAAAGTCATATATATTAGACTTCTTCCCAGGGTGACTTAATTTTTGTTTTGTTTTTTGGAGATAGAGTCTTGCTGTGGTTTTTTGACCTAGGTCTTTCTGTGTAGGTGCTCTGGCCTCAAACTTGCCATCCTCCCGGGATTACAAGTGTGCCCCATTATGCCAGGCTCCAGGGTTTTAAGTTTTATAATTGTAAGCTCTTAGAGAGAGGCAAGGAAGTAAACAGATCTCAATCCTCTAGGGCTACCACCACGAGCATACACTAACAGAAAAGATATTGCCCCAAAGGAGTGCAAGTTGGTTGTTGGGGGATGTGATAAGTTGTACTCACTTCGTGTGTGGAGTACAGGTATGCATTCAGTACAAAATCAGATATACTCAGTAATTAATATCTGAGCTGCTAAAATTTCATGGAGCAGGCTGTGCTGGGGAGGCGATCAATAATGAAGTAAAATTGAGAAATTGTATCTGTCCCAGGCTACCATCTCTGCTTTCACTCTTTTCCCAAAATGGACTATTTTCAACTCAGAAGCCAGAAACAACTTTTAAAGAAAAACGCAGGTCATGCCTCTCTGCTACCACCACAGTTTTCTTGTCGTTTTCTGCCTCACTCAGACATTTCTACATCTGTCCTCATGCCTCATGTTGTCTCTCTAAACTCATATGCTATTACTCTGACTCGGCCTCCCCCAAATGCAAACTTTGCTCTCTAGCTTCTCCCAGGCTTTTGTCCCTTCTCACCTGGCTTCCCTCTCATTCCCACGCCAACTTCCTCCCGTATTCCTGCTTGGTTTTTCTCCGTAACCTGCTTACTTCATTTTTTCCTACATGACTTCGTGCTCCAGACACACTGTCTATGTTTATGTCTAATCTGTTTTGTTGTTTGTCTCTTCCCATGTTCTCAAGCAAGTATGTCCATGTGAGCTCACTGACTTATGCCTGCCTGTTCACCGTTGTGTCCCAGCACTTGGAAAGGCCCTCGCCTGTAGCAGAAATATTGTCCGAAGAGAAACCAAGCGACAGAGAAATAGGAGAACAAGAACACAGACTTTATTTGATGCAGGTGGTCCCAAATGAGCTCACACTCAAAATTCTGGGCCCCAGCAGTGAAATTACAGGGTTCTCATTGGGCAGTGCAGGGGATCAGGTTAAGGTGAATGTGCTGGGTGCTAATAGGTGGCCTCACATTGGGGACTAGGGATCAGGCTGTTTAGGCGGGAGCAGTGGAGGACCTGTGTTGGGAAGTCTGTTTACAGAAGGAGACAAAGAAAGGCAGGAATGGGCAGTTATCTCTGCGTGGGGACTTTTATCTTGGCCCTGGACCCATTTTATGGCTTAACTATCAACTTCTCCTGTTCTTATAACCTGCTTAAGGGTGATCTTCCTGTTCAGGCCCACCCTGTAGACCTCAACACATATTACTGTAGAGATAAAGGAGCTATGGAATGACACTACAAAAATGCTTTCACAGTTCCAATTTAGGTTGCCAGCAACACCGCTCTCCTGTGCTCTGACCCTGTGCAGCTCAGTGACAGTGGTAACAGAGTACCCCTTTGTGTCTATTCTTTGATGATGCTTCCCATGGCCAGCAGCAGCTGGCCTGAGGAAGGGTCAAGGCCAAAGTCCAGGTGCTTTTTTACAGGAACACCAGATTCAGACTAGACTGCATGCTTCTCAAAACATGGCATGAAATGCTGGAAGACAGAGTGAACTCAAATTTTTGCCTTCTTCCTTCCTAACCTCCCACTAGGAAGGAATAAAGGAAAGAAAACCCAAAGTCAGATAGGCATTCCCAGGTCCCCAGGCTCAAATGTGAAAATAGAGGACAGACACATGTAAACCAGAACCGGAGCTAATGCCCCTCAATGGTTAGCCCAAACTCACAGTTTTAGAGATTAGCCCCAGGACAAGCAAGGGTAAGTGGAAGTGTGTGGAGGAGTCCTATCTTGAAAACTTGATTTTAAGGCTGGCAGAGTGGCTGTTTTAAGGGCTGCAAGAGTGCCTGGGTTGCAAGCATGTAGGCCCTGAATTCAAACCCTACTATTGCCTACCACTCCCCCACCCCAAAAAAGAAAAGATTATTTTAAAGACACAGGATTGCCTCTGGGACTTCACTCCGAATATTAAGATGCCATCAGGATAACTTGAAGTCTGAGCCTCTTTGGGAAAATGTGAATTTTTTTCACCCTGGACAATCTCTAGTGTTTCAATTTCAACTGCTGGTACGGTTTTTTCTGAAATTGCATATGAAACTTACTTTTTGCCACGGTGAAGAATTGAGTAAGTAAAATGAAAGGTGATTCTATGGAAATGGATACCTAATACTTATTCTTTGAAAAAAACATTAAAATTCATACTAATTTTGAAGGTGTATGTAAAATGTCACCTGAAATCACAATTCGCTGTTTTCTAGACACAAGGAAAACCAAATTTTCTTCATCCATCTGGGAAACAAGAGAATCTTCTTCAGAGGAGAAGTATCCAAAGATCTGAAATCCCAAATAACACATATAAACATAAGCAGTCCCTCAGAATTGGCTGTCAGACAATAACAGATTTGATGTTGGTTGAATTTAAGCCTGATCTAGGTTAACAGGTGCCTTGCTGTATAATGTCATAGGGCTGCCCAGATTTAAAAAGTGGTAACTGAACATATTTGAGGCAGATGAGATGTTAGGGAAGGTTCGGGACTTTTAAAAGCCAATGCAGCCTGATTTACAGCACCCTCACTCGCCCCTCCCTAGCCCATTCTCTCCAAACCCAGAGAGCTCCTTTCAAATTGCAAATCCTTTAAGTTAGGGTGGAAATTTCTTTCCACATGGACTTGGGGTACCTGAGAATTAGCATAGGTGTATGCATTAATCCCCCCAGCTCCTTCCCCTGGCCTGTAGGCCATTGGAGATGGGAAGTGATGTGGATTTTCTCCCCACTTCCATGTTAATGATTGATATAAAAAGGACTTAAGTGCCTCCATAGTACCTGGTGAGACCCCAGCTCTAATCCCTTTCCCCCTTTCTTATTTCCCTCACTGCATCCATTTGATCTGCTTGGATTCTCCCTTGTCAGAGTGCAAGGGCCCAAATACTCTGATTAGAATCAACAATTCCAACATCTTTGTCACACTGTATACTGAATGTTTTCATTCAGTGAAATGAATGTTTTCTTTTCTTTTTCCAGTGCTAGGGATGGAATCCAGGCCCTTGCTTGAACTTACCCCTGAGCTACATCCCCAGCCCTGTGGAGCGCTTTGAAACATGGGTGTGCACAGGATCCACCCGGGAATCCTGCCAAGGTGAAGATTCTGACCTCTGGGGTAAGGTCTGGGAGGCTGTGCCCCGGGGGCCACAGTGAATTAAAGGAGATAGTGACTGAATGACTCAATGGCACAAACCTATTGTAATCAGTTTGTTTTGATAGCATTTTATTTCTTGGGTTAGCATGTCTTTTCATTAGTTGTTTTGCAAATGTTATTACTTTGTTCATTACACACCCACAACCAAGTCTTGAGCTTGTCACACCTGTCCTTTCTTATCAAGTCTCACAAGCAGACCTCTTCTATGGGAGACCAGGATTATCAAGATGTCCTTACTTGTCTTCCCTTTTTCCCACCACCAAAATCACACTCAGTAAAATCTTAACAAACTGATTGTCCATTCAGAAATAATTATTCATGTTTCATGGGTACAAAACCTCTCTGGGTTTAACATCTAATTCCCTTGAAGAATAGAGAGAAGAGAAAGTGAAGTCTTTTGGTGGCTGGCTCTGAACTGATGTGCCAGGGATCCTGTGTCTCTGCTCTTCTTTTGGCATCACTCATTGGTGCATTTACTTAAGTCAGGTGCTGATCTGCACTTTGGCCTTATCCCTGAACCCACAAATGGCCTCGTGGCAACAGCTGGCACCCCTGTAGTCAGATGTGGGAGTTTAAGCTCTGCAACTAATTACTATTCAGAACAACTTCACTTTCTGAAGCCTCAACTTCTTCATCACTAGAATGAAAGGATAAACTGTGTTTAAACTGAGCTGTTTATTTATCTATTTATTTATTGATGTCACTGGGGAATGAATTTAGGGCCTCACCCTTGCAAGGCAGCTGCTCTGCTTGAGCTACTTTACCAGCCCTTTTTTTTTTGTGATGGGTTTTTCTTTTTCTTTTTTTTTTTTTCCCCCAGATATGGTCTCGCTATCCATTTGCCCAGGACTGACTTCAAACTGTGATTCTCCTCATCTCTGCCTCCTGAGTAGCTAGGATTACAGACAGGCACGAGCCACTGGTGTCCAGCTGAGCTGTGTTTTTAAAATGAGGTTTAAATGACTGCTTGTGTAAAGCACTTTGCATTGTGACTCACACACAGTAATTGCTATTTAAAAATAATGGTTATTACCTGAACATGGTGCACGACCTCTATTCCTACCTACTTAGGAGGATTGCATTTCAAGGCCAGCCCAGAGAAAAAAATTGGTGAGACCCTATTTCCAAAGAACAAGTCAGCCAGGCGCTGGTGGCTCATGTCTATAATTCTAGCTACTCTGAAAGCAGAGATCAGGAGGATTGGGGTTTGAAGCCAGTCCAGCCAAACAGTTTGTGAGACCCTATCTCAGAAAAAAACATCACAAAAAAGGGCTAGTAGAGTGTCTCAAGGTATAGACCCTGAGTTCAAACCCCCATACTGCAAAAAAAAAAAAAAAAAGAGCCAGGTATGGATATGAAGGTACACACCTGTAATTCCAGCTATGTAGGATATAAAGGTAGGAGGATCAAAATCCCAGGCTGGTCCCAGGTGAAAAGCAAGAGACCCTACCTGACAAATTAACTTAAGGTTGTGGGGAGAAGCTGGGAGTGTGGCTCAACTGGTAGAGTTCTCGCCTAACAAGCTCAAGGCCCCTAGTTCAAACCCCAGTGCCAATAAATAAATGCTATTATTATCCTTAGAAAGTTTAGGTTGAATATGCTTCCTGGGAGAGAGAAAAAAATATATAAATTATATAAAGCCTACAACCACTAATGAGAAAATAAAACGGTCCTTATGGATAGTATTCAAACGACCAGTCTACAAACTGATTTGTCTAATTAGAAAGTTTTATTAGGTGAGTCTGAACCTGGAGTTTTGGACCCCTGGCCCCAAATCCTGGGATTCCACATGTCAGTCCAGCCACTCCCATATGCCAAATAAGGAGACATGGGGAAGGACAGAGAGAGGAAATTTCTTATGTGGCCCAGGACACACAGTGGGATTAGACAGAGTAAGCACTCAGTTCATCTGGAGCCACCTTCAGGGTACACACGAGCTTAAATAGACAAAGAATTAGGGCAGGAGACAAAGGTATGCATAAACAGTCACAGTCATAATGTGGCCTGGCTAGTCATTATCTCAGTCCTTATTCTTCCTGAGAAGTTGTTATCCAGAGGTAATCTATCCTGAGGAGGCTCTACTGTGAGGGGTAGTTTCTGTCCCTTGTCATTTAGATGTTATCCATCAATTCTGTCCTTCCTAGTGACTGCAAAGAGAATGGCTTATAGCAAAGACAAATACAAAACTGAGACAGGGATACCAAGCTATGCTGCTGCTAGTTAATGTGTGGGCCCAAGGAAGGAGTCAGTGCTTTTCAACAAAAGGGGTTTAAGAACCTCTGATAGGTTTTACTGGATAAAAGAAAACAATGGGGGGGGGTTCCCCCATAAGAGAAAAAGAAGGAAGTCCTTGATTCAGCATGTGATTTTCACTCAAATCACAGGAACCTGAAATTCACAATGAAAAGCATGTCAAGGGGTTTCACACAAACAAAAAAAAGGAAACTCACAAAGTGGAAGTTTAGCAAAGATTTATTTGGCAAAAGAGGATAAAGTAGGAAGAAATAGAAAAGGAAAAGAAAAGTGCCTCCTGCCTGACACACAGAAGACAGGACCAGAGAGGTTCAAAATGGTGGTCGTGGTCCCAGATATCTTTGTACCTTCTAGGCAGGGGGATTCCACCTTGAATCCCCACCTAGCTGCAGGGTCACCTAGCAACCATCAATCATTTCATTTCCATAGGTTAATGTTTTGCTGTTATTTAAACATAGAGGAATGGTTATGACTCAAAATAAGGGACTTGGTGAATGTGTTGTTACCCAAAACATGGAGACAATAGGTGTAATGTTTGGGCATTCCTTTATACAAATAATCCATTCATCAGACAAGCCTTCTGTCCTCTCTCAGTTCCCCTTATTCATTCAAGGATTCTCAAAGAAGGGAGGGTGATGGGTGGAATGTTTGCTGCTCTTAGTGATTTTTCAGATTTACTTCCCAGTTGTCTTAATTTTCTGAATCTGGCGTTCCAAAATATTTTTTTACTATTTTAATTTCACTGTTGCCTCATCCTGTCTATCTTGTCTCAGCCCACAAGAAACTGATGACAAACGGAGCCACTGTGGGAAAGGATTAAGTGACTTCCACAGCCAGAAGAAGGAAGACAATTCAGCTTGTCGCCCATCTAAATCCATCAGTACCTACAGCCTTTACTTCCTTTCTTACCCCACTGGGGATTCTCAATTACACATTCCCAGTCCTCCATCTTTTCACACCACTGCACTGACCTGGCAAGAAACCCCTTTGCTGAGTGATTCCAATCTCTTCTGCAGCTGATCAGCCACACGGAAAAGTTCCTGGGTACATAGATAGGGCCACCAGTCACCTCGAGCCTCAAGGTGTCCTGGCCTACTTGATTTCTCTGTGTCCACAGAAGCAATGCCAAAGCTGCTGTGCTCTCTTTACCATGTGACTTCACCTTCTGGTCATTCTCTGTCATGGATTTGGTAACTACAGATTGGTAACTACAGGTTGTACTGGGGACAAGCGAATAGGAGAAAGCAAAGATTTATTAGGATGACATTAAAAGGGTGAGAAAATGGCAGGCAGCTAGGCAAAGGAGCATAACACACAGAGACAGGGTTAAGAGCAGGTTTTATACTTTATGTTAGACTACTTTTGACTGGCTGTTTCCCTTTTAATGGACATTACTGATTGGTTGTCTCTTCCTCAGATCATGGTTTGAATTTCCCATGTGGGGCACCTCTCCAGGAGGTTTGTTTTTACTTCTGCATTCCATCTGGTCTATTTCCTGTGCTTGACCTATTTCCATGTTCCATCTACTCTTTAGAGTTTATCTGCCATGTCTCCCTAAAATGGGGGCTCCTCCACACTCTCCAAAGCTGCCCTCACTCCAAGCTGGTTTGGGACCCTCTTTCTTTCCTTTCCGAGGGAATCCCTCTCCCCTTCTTTGGATCTCATCCCCTCCATCTCTTCTGTTTGTCTCCTTTTTCTTTCTTCAGCATCTACGACCCTCCCTTTCTACTGACTTTTCAACATTCAGACACGTTCAAATCTCTCTTCTCCTGAAAACAACACAGCAAACCTTCCAAGATCAATTTCAACACAGATAATAATCCTCAGTCCTTGCTTCTCTGACTCCCTTCTCCAAGTGTCACACCTCCTTACATGGATGTTGAG